GCTTTCGTATTCACCCACGGTGCCATACCTATCGAGAAGGGATTGTTGCAAGCAAAGGAGTAGGAGAACTCACGGATCACTTGATATAGCCAACGACAGAGTGGTTTCATCATAAGAACAGCTACCGATGAATAGAGAAGCGATGAGAGTCAAGGAGTGGAGCATTGGGATGATTGGAGTAATCAACTCGCCTGATGGGTCTTGTATTATCGGTCGACTCGCGAGATCGCGAAGCGGGAGCATACCCGGCTCTGTTGATCGATACAGTTGTAGTTTACGACTTGCAAACCGAACAATAGGCGAGGAGTGTGCTCAGAAAACAGTTCCGTGTGGAATACGAAGAGTGAAGCCGCTCTGCGTCACGCGTTGCGCGTGAAGACGCGAGTGCATGAGTACGTGGAGCACTCACACACTGCGTGTCACGGAGACACGTGACACTGCAAAAGTTGAGTGTAGACTGTGAATCAAACGGGGGCGAAATATCAGCTACTTTCAGCACACGTCTTGAAACACCCGCCAGGTTTGATGACATTTGTACTCACGAGCATGCCCCGGCAATCGAAAACCCCGAAACCGAATGTTTCGGTTTGGATTCGGTCAATGGACCAACCAAAACCGAAACGGTGTGGTCCATCTTGAAACCGGAACCGGAAAATACCTATATATTAGGTTCTTCGGTCTTCTTTCAGATTTAAGATGTAGTAAGGCAGTTTTTCAAGAAAAACCACCTAGGGTGGCACGCGGAAGGAAAAATAGAAAAATTATTTCCTTCGGAAGGAAATTTGAAATTTGAAGGAAAAATGAAGGAAAAATACGGAAAAATAAGGAAAAATAAAATTTTTCGCTTGGCCTGCCAAGGTTTGGCAGGCCAGAGGGTCACTATCTCATTCAATCAAGCTGCTGGCAGATGATTTGCACTCATTAATCACGTTTCAAAGTCTGATTAACTGTGACTGACTCAGAACCACACTGGAGGAGACCAGGGCGTGCGCTAAAGTTGAGCGGTTGAACATGCGCGTTTTCCATCGGAATGTTTCCCACGACTAAAGCTGTCGTTGAGCGTTACTTGATTGATTCATTGATGGTTGCGTCCCTTTGTTACAATCACGCACTCTGCCTCTGTGTTCTGTCGTCTTCATCATGGTGCATTAAACATACCATGATGGACCTGCGTCAAAATACACTGTATTTTGATGCAGTTGCCAGTTGTATAACGCTGGGTTATTTTGTGTTTCAGCGCAATTTTCAACCCTACACTACCCAATCATACACGTTTACATGTTTCAGCGCAAACCTTACACGACTGCAATCATCAAGAGTGTGGACTCGGCGTGGGAGAGTGATTCGTCCGCCTCGACATTGTTTGATCAACGGAATGGTAGAGTATGTAGTATCAGCAACAGTCTTATTTTTCTCGGCCAGCATTGGAAATGTCTTCCAGGGACCAGTGAAGCCTTTCTTTTCCGATCACTTTCACAGGTTCGAGCGCTCATGTCAGCAAGAAACGCAGACGGAAACACTGACGAATCACGATGCGAAGCGAGGTGCAAATGTTAGTCTGTCCATAACGATGATTATTGATCAGGTCAGAGCCTCAGACGCTGAGCCTGCGGCCGGTTACGGAACCACTGCCTAAATGTTGCGTCAGGGCTACCTATCCGTTTGTTTTGGAGTACGCTACGTTGATACTTTATCGTGTTGTGCTTGTGGGAGCGCAGCGTATCCCGCTCGAATAAAATGATCATGGTGCGAAGTACCACGCAATAACTGAAACCGCAACCTGGGCCTTCCAGTGAAAGTGCGAATCGAATTCTCGCTCGCCGCAAAAATCGTTGATCATCCTGGCGAACAATTCTTCCCTATACTCAGTCTAATCGAGACTACTAACACAGGCACATACCCCGACATTATCTGTTGTGAGACCCCTTCTTTTTTGGCTTTTTTATGCCCATTTATGGCAATTTTGAAAAATTTTTCTCTATTTTTCCTATTTTTCCTATTTTTCCTGTCCGAAAGAATTTTCTAAATTTCCTTCATCTTTCCGAAGGAAATGGAAGGAAATAATTGGAAGGAAATAATTCGTGCCACCCTAAAACCACCAATTGAAGGCCTTATTGTCCACAGACAAGCTGTAATCATCACGTTCTTTGCAAGTTTCTGAGTCAGATAAGTATGCTCGGTTAATACAATGATAGTTACCTTCACGGAAGTTATAACATTGTTATTGTAGGAGCTACACAAGGTGGCCACCGGCTAGGCCACTATGGCACAGACTCCAGAATTGTCCGTGCGGGTGACGCGATGAGTGATAATGTTTGCAACGCTAAATTTCCAACCACTATTTCTGTACAACACCAGTGCAAGTTCAGAAACTGAATTAGTTAGGCAAGACAGCTAAGACAGCTACGTGAATATTATCCAGTGATTGAGCGAATAACTGACGGGCCTCTTAATGTGTCACACATTGAGACTCTCAATTTGAGAGGCCCAATGGGCCATACACGGGCACTTTTTCGTGTTGGACTGTGGTCGTCGTCAGCTTTAATGGCCATGACACAAGTAGAGTTGTGTTGGTTGGAAAAGGTAATTCGTAGAAAAACCGACCTAAGGTCGGCGACCTTACGGTTATCACCCGTCACGTGACATAGTGGCGTGACGTAGAGTATTTATGGAGCGTCTCTTGCGTGCGTCACGAAGTGGCCGTCACGCCGTAGGGAACGGGCCCACGCCCCTCCACCAAAAGAGGTTGATAGAAAGTAAGGAAGCCCAAGAACACGTGTAGTGCACTTTATTGCACGAAAGTACAATTCGTATTCCCAAAACACCGCTACTTTGAATATGATTTGGGTCATTGAATGGCTCTTGTGTGCACCTTGATATGAAGTTATGTTGATATTTCACGATGGAGGTGATGAATTCAATGTTCCTTTTAATGTCGACGTTAGCAGATAGATTCTATCTTATAGAATCGACGCGGTTACAGTACCGGTCGAAGAGTTGCCCACCAACGCCAAAACGG